GGCCCCTCCTCTCCCGTGCAGGGGGGACTCCCCCTTCAGTGCTCTCCTTTTGTCCGTGGATAAAGCAGCTGCCTCTTTCCCTGTTCAGCCATGGGAGCCGCAGGTCAGTACACGCTTCTACTGCAGCTAAAGCTTTTCAGTCTGCGTCCAGTCTGTGCAGCACATCCCAAGGCACGGTCGCTGTCGCCTGTCAACACCTGTCTCCCTTGGACGGCTGTCTGTTGTTGTGTCTGTGTTGCTACAGCTGCTGTCTGTGCTACCTGTGTCCGCCCGTCCGTCTCTGTGTGTGCGCGTGAGCATCTCCATTCAAAGCAGCAGCCACACGGAGAGTTTGTCAGTGTTGCCAGCAACAATGGCTTCTGCGGGGAGTGGTGCATGCACAGCAGCTGTGGCACATGGATCCTGCTGACAGTGAATGAGCAGAGTGTTTGATGTGATGTTGGGGTGGACAGATAGGTGCTGTAATTCACTACTGGTTGCTCAGAGACGAGGGCAGATTATACATGTGGCATTTTACAGTGTGGGAACAGTTAATGTGTGGGGTGCAGAGATTCACTTAGTCACAATGACTGTTTGGCCATCCAGGTTTAGCCTGCCTTTTTGGCATCCACAGATGCCTTTTAGTGGAGAGTAAAGATGGCCGTCATCACTATGCTGCTCACAGCTCCACAGCTAAAATTAGAGCAGGCAGGCGGGCAGCTCAGAGGAAGAGTAAGACACCCAAGAGACCTCAGTCGCCATCCTCTCTTCGTCTTCACTGGCACAAAACTTTACATTCCCAATTCTGCTTGCCTCTCGATCAAAGATTCCTGGTGCCACCAGAACAGATGCATGGCGGTACTGTTAGACTTGCAGTGATAGTGGGGTAGGCAGCATTTTCAGCAGAGGTAAAACAAGCAGCCGACAGCTCTCATGGAAACAGGCCCATGTTTCCAGCCGACACAGACGACTGCCAGAGGAGGACCGCTGGAGCTGTAATGGTACACTGAGCTAATCCTCAGTTATCACTTCTCTTTGCTAGTGGCTTTAAATTACAGGCCCCACTGCCCAAAGAAGACAAAAAAAAAACGTTAGAATAGAGGGAAAAGAGTACAGCGTGATGCACAGCAGGCATGCTGGTGCTGTAGCTTCCAAATGCTCTTTCTTGTTTGACTGAGGTGCTTCAGAGAAATCCTGGTGTTTCATTGCATAAATGACATACTGATGTATCGTCATCCTTCATCAGCGACCAGAGCGGCCCGTCTGGCCAGGTCACATTGAACTATTATCTGTGAACTGCTGATACTGCTTCTATTTCTGCTTCTGCTTTCAGAGAGCTATAGGTCAATCATTAATGCTGCACTGTGAGCTGCTGGTGCAGATGTACCTTTACTGTAACGGGCCTGTTTGTATGTATGTTTGTATACGTATGAGACCAGACCAGGTGCTCCTGGCGATAAGCATGAGTCAGATGTAAATATGAAGCCACACTGGCCCAGAGTGTGGCAACACAGGCTGAGGTACTTGCTTGACAGGCATTATCTTCTGCAAAGGTCGCTCTATATATAGGGCTAAAGAAAGTGGACAGACAAATCATCGCTTGGACACCTTCGTGCTACCTCACAGCTCCACAGCTCACTGTAACCTAGTGAAAAGCTAGGTTAAGAAGCTGGGTTAAAACAGAATCACGTGACAGCTGGAGGTCCCTGTGGACGCTGGGTTGTGAACAGCTTCCAGTAATTTGACCCAAATGTGTGGTGTGTAGAGCACAGCAGCCTAATCCACTTTGAGAAGAATACATGGACGCCCAGGCCCACATGATATGGAGTAAGAGCCCAGGTTAAGGCTCCTAACCCGGTTTGTCCTTCTTCTGTCTTTCCCCCCACTTTAGCGATTGACCTGCTCTACTGGAGGAATGTGAAGCAGTCGGGGGCCGTGTTCAGCAGCGTGCTCCTGCTCCTCTTCTCCCTGACCCAGTTCAGTGTGGTCAGTGTCGGCGCCTACTTAGCCCTGGCAGCCCTCTCTGCCACCATCAGCTTCAGGATCTACAAGTCTGTGCTGCAGGCTGTGCAGAAGACCGATGAGGGACATCCTTTCAAGTGAGTGGAACAGGTTGACGAATAAGTGTGGAGTTCATTGAAAGGTCTGTTGCGTTTTGTTTGCTTGCACATGTATCACTTGTTTCTGTACTGCCTCTGTCACCAGATCCTACCTGGAGATGGAAATCGCTCTATCTCAGGACCAGATTAGTAAATATGCTGACAAAATCCTTCTCTACTCCAACACCTGTATGAAGGAGCTCCGCAGGCTGTTCCTGGTACAAGATCTGGTCGACTCACTGAAGGTTTGCCTCGCATTGAAATGCCGCCACTGTTTGCCTTTTATCACCGTCGTAAGCCGGCGCAAACCTCAACCGCTCTGTGTGCATTTCAGTTTGCTGTTCTGATGTGGCTGCTGACCTACGTGGGCGCTCTCTTCAACGGCCTGACACTGCTCATCCTAGGTGAGGTCATCCTGACTTGTGACTGCTGTTGACTCACACACACACAACAGAAGTTCAATAATCAGCGGAAGACTATAACAGAGCTCTATTCTCTCATATGCAGTGTTATCCAGGAGTGCAGCGTGTCCTTATCACCACGCCAGAACCAAATTTATGTATTGGGCATGTTTACTGCACCGCTGTACAGTATCTGTTTACTTTTCCAGTTTACCTTAGATAAGAGGGGCGGTTGGGGTGTGCTGGGGCCCCGGCTGAGACAAACGTGCTCCTGTTGGAACATATTCCCACTATAGGTCAGCCTGCTTTAATCACCACTCCTTCTGTGCCTTTACAGCTGTGGTTTCCATGTTCACTATGCCTGTGGTCTACGAGAAACATCAGGTGGGAATTTGAACTTCACAATAACTCAAGTCAGCTCCAGTTTGTCAGACAGTCGCCAGCATTTTAACAGTTTTTTCCCCCCCTTGTGTTTCCAGGCACAGATTGATCAGTACGTGGGGCTAATACGGACCCAGGTCAACTCCGTGGTCGGGAAGTGAGTGATTGTCATTTTTGTTTTCCACGTGACACAAAAAGTAAAATCCAAACAAGAGGAAGTCAGACTAGGTACCCAGGATTCATGCGCCGCTGTTCCTGAGCAGTTTTCCTCAGTTCAGCAGCATTTTTGCATGTTTTTCTTATGCAAACAACCGAGAGAGCAACACTCGCTGTTGGTTGATTAGAGCCACACTTATCCAGTGGAGCTGCTCAGTGGCCAGCGAATAAGAGCGCAGGCCATCACTGTAAAGAGCACGCACGCTCCACAAACAAAGAAGTACATTCAAGACGAGTAACCTTCTAGCTATTTCCACCAGACACCGAAGTGCGCGCAGTTCTTGGACAGGTGGTTGCGAGTTTGCCAATTTTAGTAAAAACCTGACGTGCAGGATCTACGAACTGCCATAAAAAGACAGTGCACACGAACTGAACAAGCACGACTTAATCTTGAGAAAATGTCTCGTTGGAAACACGGTATTAACGTCTGTTTTCTCTGTCCAGGATCCAGGCAAAGATCCCTGGGGCCAAGAGGAAGGAGGAGTAGACCTGTCTGTCTCACCGAGAAGCTGACGGTCCAGTCCAGCTCGGAGTCAGGCTCACTGTTAAAGGGCCTGGTCGTCATCTGTGGGGCGTAGTGCTATGTCATCTTGGTGTTCTCTAAAAGCATCCACTGGAGAAGCCTTCACCCTGTCTATAGCAGTCTAAACACTAACACACACAAATCACACGTACGTACAAAAATCCTGTTTCTAGGTAGACAAGTACACAACTCGAAGACAAAAAAAGAAACTGACTTTTTTTGTGTTGCTTATTATAAAGTGCATGAAGTCGAGCCTTGGGTAAATATTTGATATCTTTTGTGCAGTTTTTAAATCACGCTACATTTTTGCTTTGCAGTGCTTACCACAAACTGTACGGTTTGGCACAAAAAGGCTAAATGCCCACAGACGTGCTCTGCTGCCAATGTTAAATACTGCGTCATGTTTCTGAGTTAGCAGATGGGGCTTCTCTCAGTATATGTCAATATATATAAATATCAAAAATGATTTCCTTTCGGTGTTTCCAAGCACAAAATAATTTAACAATATGCGTCTTAGATGTGGTAACTGTAGGGTTTTTGCTTTTGTATAACCATAAGGAACAATACACACGCTCATGTTTTAGGTACTGTTGTACAACTACTATGAAGACAAGGAGTATCTGGTGATATTTAGCTTGTTTGAATAACTGTCCAACTTTGTACTATGTTCAACTATACTCTGTAGTTCTTTAGACCCTGGACTCTTTAACTATTTGCACTTACAGTATGTATTTAATTACAAGAATAAGAAAAATAAATGTACCTTGATGTATACCATCTTCTCAGCCACTTTACTGATGAGTTCACTTTGTAACCTGACGTTGGGAGAAGATCAGTGTCTGTATGACACAACAGCTAAGTTTGAGGTGATAACACCTTAGATGGGACACTTGGAATGGTGAGCTATAAATATAAGCCAATGCATTCTGGCACTGACACACCTCTCATAGTAAGAGTTTAGTGTGTGTGTGTGTGTGTGTGTGTGTGTGTGAGAGTGTGTGTGTGTGTGAGTGTGTGTGTTTGTGGGGACAAATTTAACTTGACTCTTGGGTCACTTGGGTCACAATGAGACCGTATTTGAAGACTGACAAGCCTCATCTGTTGCAGACAACTATTTTTAATGGCCTACTGCTGAAACACTGTTACAACGAAGGTAGACTGGATGAATCTCATCAATGAACTTTAGAGGCCTCATTAACAGCAGCACGTTAAACAGGGGACTACACTCCAGTGAGATCTAACAAAGAAAGGACTGAATATTTGACTGTGCAGCTGAAAGCTACAGTCCCACTTGAACTTAAAAAATATACACACCCCCCCCCAACACAAATGTAAGAGAACTGCTCAAAGAACAACATTAGAACAAGTTCCATTTCAACTCTTAATATGAGGATTGTCTGTTTAGCTGTTGAGGAGAGTGACAGGATGTAGCTGGAAGAGAGCACCTTTGTTGTTTCCACCTCCAGGCTCCACGATGTCCATCCTCAGAGAAGGATCCACCTACACGTCCAACACATGCTTTTAGACAGAGAACTGAAATGTGCTTTGACCAAAGGAAGAGGCTGTAATCAGTATCGTACCTGGTTCCACTTCCCCGGTTTTCCATAGTACACTGGAGTGACGCCTTCCCTTGGCGGAGACTTTGTGAAGAGTCTGCGTCACACAATATGAAGCACATGTTAAGGATCGCATCACTAGAAAATCCCCCCTTCTTGCTGATTCCTGTGGGTGTGCGAGTGTGACCTGGTGAGGCGATCCTGACAGTCTTCCTGCAGGTGACTGATCCTGTCTGGTCCCAGATGCAGAGCTCTGTTGGGCCCTTCAGACAGCATGTGGTTTATAGCCATACGCAATGCATTTATCTAAAAAGAAAACACAAAATTTACTGACTGATAGACAGGAGGGAGTGCTGTACCATGTTCAACTGGGACTAAAGTATTTCTGCCATTGGCACAACCCTGTCAATACCATGAGGAACAACATGATCTGGAGTCTGTTGCAGTTATTATCAGTTTTATTTTGTGCATGTGTGATTAGCTGTTGAGATATAGATGCTAGTTTCAACGTGGTATTACAGCTGGGGCCATGGTCTCAAAGACCGCACAACTTTCTGTCATCCTCAGAATCTCACAGCTGCCAAGGACTGAGAAAGATCCACATCGGTTAGGAAATAAGAAAGAAGCTCATGGGTTGTTTTCTGGCTGCTGTCCAGAGCAAGAAACAAATTTAAGAATCTCAGTTTGAAATAGAAACACTGATCTTGGTGCCGTAATAAATTGAGAGTAAAACACCTGGTTGTAGGTACTTTTTTTACTTCCTGATCTCTCTCTTGTTTTTTTGCTGAGTGGATTCTCCACATTTATTCTGGTTGTTCTTTGCGCTGCGAATCAAGCCTTCATTTTCCCTGAAGATTTCCTACCCAGTTGCACAAAGACTTACAAAGTGACAGCAAGGTTTGTGAGTAATCAGTCTACATGCTAATGGTGTCATGGTGAAAACAAAAAAGTCGTCCATTGCCACTTTAAACTGTGTATTTTGGAGACGACTAGAATTCTAAAGTCCCAAGGATGTGACAGTGAGGAGATATTACATGAACCACCAGGTGATCACCAATAATCAGCAGTGAGAGGCAAAGGATCCAGGGAAAAGTTCATCTTTGGACCTTCCTACTTTAACACTGCGGTCCATCACAACACATCTGTGTAGCTGCCTCTCTGACGTTACCTCAGTGACGTCCTCAACGTCAAACTTGACGTCGAAGGCCAGTTCAATGTCATGCTCGGGTAGGATGGTCTCTTGTGTTTGACTGTTGCAGCCCAGGCCACAGAGGGCACCAGTGTAGCAGGTCCGCTCTTCGTTAGTGCTAAAATTTTTTTAAAAAAAGAGCATGAATATTGACATGAGTTTTTGTACATTTGGGTGCGGCAGAGCTGTGCGTATAACTGACCGTAACTCCATGACAGGAGTGAAGAGCATAGTGATAAGGGCAGGCAGTCCAGGGATGTCTGGCAGGAGGGTGGTGTCTCTCAGCAGAATGCGTGTACCTGCAAGACAAACACACCCTTAATAAGCATAATTGATTTGGTCTATATTTTATAATATGGCCAACATATTAAAAACTTCTGTGTGTGTTCATCACTTCAACAACACCTTTCACATTATAAATATACAGCGGCGATATAAAAGAAACTACTCGATATAAAAATAAGATTAGTGGAGATTTAATGCATATATTCAAGACGACATTTGGCCAGTCTGGTACCTGTGCAGTTCACTGACACATTCCCGGCCACCAGCATTCTCTGATGTTTGTAATGAGGGTTTTCATTCAGGACAAAGGCGTTGATGCTGGATCGGTCTATAAACACAGTCCTGCAGGAAGACACACTCATCATCAACGAAGAAGAGGAAGGAGATGTGCAAGTTTAATCTAGTTTTGGTGTATGTAAGGCTTACTTGTGGTGGCTCACGCTGTGGAAGCTTATCTTGTGAGGACTATTCGGTCCATGCAGACCAACCTATAGTGTCAGAGGGAAGCCGGCAATCAGACATCACGCGATACATTCATGCATACACTGATTACTGTGATTCAGAGCTGTGGTCACCCTCTCGTCATTGTTCTGGTTATCACGCTGAATGGGTGTGTCTCAGAATGAACACAAGCACATGAACTGAGTCACTGAAACAGCTCCATCTCCTGGACAAACCGATGGCAACACACGGTAAAAAAGGTGATGTCATCATACAGCATCTCAGACATTCAACATCAGTATTGAATTTTAAATACATGCCCGAAACTCATCCTCGTACCTTCGTTTTCTGATTTTATTTCTTTTCCTGATGTTAATCTGTGTTACTCTTCTCCACATTTAAAAATAATATTTTGACAAAGCTTTTAAAAGTGGTACGGACTAACAGATTACTTGTAAAGTGGGGAAGATAAGTATTAGATACACTGCTGATTTTGCAAGTATTCTCACAAAGAATGGAGGTCTGTAGTTTTTATCGTAGGTACGATAGAATTCTGGCTCTCACAGTCCTGCTAGCTTTTTTTCAAGAAGCCCTCCTGTTCTCCACTCGTTACCTGTATTATTTGCACCTGTCTGAACTCGTTACCTGTATAAAAGACACCTGTCCACACACTCAATCAATCAGACTCCAACACCAAAGAGTTGTCTAAGGATACCCGGGACAAGACTGTAGACCTGCACAAGGCTGGAAGAAACTTAAGATGACTGTCAGTCTTCCTCTGTCTGGGGCTCCATGCAAGATCTCGCTTCGTGGGGTAACAATGATCATGACAAAGGTGAGGGATCAGTCCAGAACTACACGGGAGGACCTGGTCAATGACCTGGAGATGGCTGGGACTACATTCTCAAAGGCTACCATCAGTAACACACTATGCCGTCATGGATTAAATCCTGCAGCGCACACAAGGTCCCCCTGCTCAAGCCAGCACACATCCAGGCCCGTCTGAAGTTTGCCAGTGACCACCTGGATGATCCAGAGGAGACCTGGGAGAAGGTCATGTGGTCAGATGAGACCAAAATAAAGCTTTCTGGTTTAAACTCCACTTGCTGTGTTTGGAGGAAGAAGGAGGACGAGTACAACCCCAAGAATACCATCCCAACTGTGAAGCATGGGGGGGTGGAAACATCGTACGGGGTGCTTTTCTGCAAAGGGGACAGGACGACTGCGCCGCATTGAGGGGAGGATGGATGGGACCATGTGTCGTGAGATTCCCTCAGTAAGAGCACTGAAGATGGTTCGTGGCTGGGTCTTCTAGCATGACAATGACCCAAAACATACAGTCAGGGCAACTAAGGAGTAGCCTAGCCAGTCTCCAGACCTGAACCCAACAACAATCCCACAACCTGTAATATCTGGAGAAGCTCTGTATGGAGGAGTGGGCCCAAACCCCTGCTGCAGTGTGCAAACCTGGTCCAGAGCTACAGGAAACATCTGTCCTTTGTAATCATAAACAAAGGTTTCTGTACCAGATATTAAGTTCTGTTTTTCTATTGTACCAAATACTTATTTCATGCAATAAAATGCAAATTATTTAAAAATCATACAATGTGTTTTTCTGGATTTTTGTTTTACCAATTTTATTTTTATTCCGTCTCTCACAGTTTAAGCGTACCTACGATTAAAACTACAGACCTCTCCATTCTTTGTAAGTGGGGAAAACTTGCAAAATCGGCAGTGAATCAAATACTTATTTCATGCAATAAAATGCAAATTATTTAAAAATCATACAATGTGTTTTTCTGGATTTTTATTTTAGATTCCGTCTCTCACAGTTGAAGCGTACCTACGACAAACATGACAGACCTCTCCATTCTTTGTAAGTGGGGAAAACTTGCAAAATCGGCATTGAATCAAACACTTATTTTTCCCCACAGTATTTCATATTCTTTCTCTTCTCAAAAACCTATTAAACTGTGGTTTGGCCTGCAGTGTGTCTCACCTTTGTCGTCATATAGGGCTGGTTGCTCTTGGAAAAGTGAGCGAGCAGGCAGTCGATGAGCTCTTTCTCCTCTTTCTTGCGTTCTTTCCAGGAGCTGCCGGCAGAGTTGGGAACATATGTCCCTTCGTTCTTCTCCTTGTACAGAGACATCAGGACCTCATGGCTTTGCTGCAGAAGCATGAAAAGATCCAATGTCAAGCATCATTGCTGAGGCGTTTTTTTTTTTTTAAATAACTGGACTAACTTATCCGAGGTATTTTACTTCAAAAGCCGATCACGTTGTACCTCATTGCATGTCAATATTTCCAGAAGCACTTTACAGTCAACAACATCAAAAGACAATCTTCAGTGAGACTAAAGTAACCATCATCTAACCACAACATCTCTCTGATAAAAAGTGATACTGAATGGGCAAAGGGGAGCATATGGAAGCCTGACATTTGTCTATCGGCACTTCACTGTAATCAGAAAGTGCTCCTACCAACATCTCACCATGACTGGTGAAAAACACTGACAAGTGGCGATGCATTTCCACACACGAGGAGCATATTTAGACATATTATGGCAAAGCTGGGAGTTTTTTTAAATAAAAAAGCTCTTGGACTGCAGAGAAGTAGAATATGTTCAGGAAAGCAGCCGATGTTCTGTCAGGAGGAGGAAAGCGACGACACTCAGCAGATAACTGTTACTAGCTGATACTAACAGGACACATTCATTTACTTTTTCAGGTAGGACTTATTGATTTACTTTCCGTTCACTTTCAGACCACCTCAGCTTCTTGTTGTTTCACCTGAGAATCGAAACTCTCCTCAACCTTCACAGCGTGTCCCTCCTCCACGAGTATGTCCAGCACGCTGGAGTTTGTTTTCTCTGCGTTGACGAACAGCTTCACGCGCATCACACCGTACAGTATGGAGTACAGGCACACCATGAGGGAGTGACCCTTGACCAAAGTGATGAAGCGGTTGCGGGCACGGCTGCTCCACTGGTTCCCGTGGATGATCGATTCGGCTGAGGGATGTAATTCAGCAACTTGGAACTCATGAGCCTGAAACAGGAAGCACAGCGTGTGTTATTGTATGTTTTACGATTACTGTTCTGAGAAATAGCGCCATTTAGAGCATTGCTACCTGGAATGGATGAGACAGCAGGTCAGATGGGAGCGCTCTGAGGTTGCTGCTGGCAATCACTGCTGTGTTGCCAAAGTCCAAAAAGAACACCTGGAAAGTGACAGTAAACATTTGCTCGCTTATTTTTGAAGAAAATGGTGCGATGTTACATATCTATGAGTGATAAAAACCTTTGGCTTCAGCATCTAGTGTGTGTTTGGGGTTGTTGTCTTTCTGCATGACTAACTTTCTCTGAGATTCAGTTCACAGACAGATGTCCTGACATCATCCTCACAAGGAGAATCTATTGTGAATCTAAAGACAAGATGTCCACGGCCAGACGCAGCAAAAACAAATCACAACTACAATATTACCACAGTTTTTCACAGCAGGTATAAGGTTGCTTTTTTATTCAACTTTTTGTTTCATCTGTTCACAAAACATGCATCCATTAGTCTTCTGGTTCGTTTGTGTGATCTTTAGCAGCAATGGTCACTATTGTTGTTCAGATTTCTCCTGATGATGGAGCTGTAAACATCAACATTAGCCACTGTAAGGGAGGGTTTTATTGTTTAAAAGTTACTCTGGGTTTCTCTGTGACCTCGAGGACTATTACACAGCTTGTTCTTGGAGAAATCTTTGTTGGTCCAAACAGGTCGTGTAAACAAAACATGGCCCCACTCACACCTGACTGTAATCCTACTGACTGAAAACACCAGACTCTAATTTCACAGACAATCCAACTGTGATTACTAGAGCTTCACATACGTCTGACCTGCACAGATGGGTTGTCTTGCATCATTTTCCACAATAGATAAATGACAAATTCTCCTTATTTTGTCTCATATCTTTAAATAGGTTCTCTTTATCTACTTTAGGACTTTTGCAAGAAGCTGATAACGTTTTAGGTCATATTATTCAGAAACATTCTGAAATTCACAAACGTTTAGCACAACTACAAGTCTTAGTGACGGTCAAATACGAAACAGTCACTTGTGAGCGTGCATACGTTCTTTTAAGTCTCTACAATATGTTAACATTTGTGATCTTTTCTTTCTGCATTGTCATCTGCTTTCTGGTTCATTTCCATATCTTGATGTGTGGAAAACAATGTTTTTACTGGCATCTGGGTGCTGTTTCATTTGTGGGAAAATGCATGAAAGGCACCACATTTATCCATCTTACACACATTTATAGAATAGAACTGTGTCTAGATTTTGTTACTTCATCAATTTTACCACCTTGTCAACAAGATGTCTGATTTAATAGAAACTCAATGCAGAAAAAACTGATAAAAATAGCAAAGCTGGCCAGTAAAGGTCTATATCTGCCATCACAGTCACAGTGAATATTGAGCTTCAGTTCCTGAAACAGCAACACTCGAGACAATAAGTTGTAATTACTGTGAAAACTACAATGTGGAGAAAATGTTCCCCTACTATGGCCTGAGTGTGAACAATATTTACCTCCACTACACTGCCACGCACGTGCAGAATCTTGGCGCGGTAGTACAAAATCTGATCACTGTTTTCGGAGTAAGGAGCCAGACACAGCAGGTTGGGATAGAGCGACACGGTCACAGGATGCAGTGTGCGCATGTTAATCTCTGCTGTCAGATGGCGCTGCTTTTCCAGGCTGGCTTCTTCTGCTAGAAAGCCCCAGAAATGACCCACCTCCAAAATCTGCAGCAGAGAGTTAAAAGAGGATATGTGATGCATTCATAAAATACTCAGGTACTTGGTCAGAACCTCGTGCAGTGTATCTCATGACATTTAGCTCTGTCAGACCAGGTTAAATCCAGAGGACTGACCGCTGTGATGTTCACCACGAACAGGCGATTGGGAGGCAGCCTATCTGGGTCAATGGTGCTGCTCAACACTCCCACTGGGGAGACAGTATGGCTCTGCAGGTCCACATTCACCCTGTACAGAAACGACATCAAGAAGACATTCTCTCCTTGCTGCTAAGTTTAACACAGGAAAAGAACTACAGCTGGCTTCTGTAACTCTGCCGTACCGTGAATATTTCATGTGAGTTATGTGTCTGTTGCCTGCACAGCTTTCTATCTGTTGAATCGGATAGACAGAAAGCTCCATTGGAGGGTTCCTTTGGTTCAGAAGAAGGGCGAGAGACACTTCAGGCAGCACCCCGGAGTCCTGGGATGTCCTGTAGAACTCCACGTACGCTCTGAGTGAACGCACAAACACTACATGTGAGCTAATAAAGAGTGTGCAAGGCTTAGAGCAGACAGAGTACAGAGAAAGTGGAACCTGCTACCTGGAGTTCTCAAAGGAAATGGTTTTGACCTGCCCACACAGACGGAACATGGACTGCAGCTGCTTGTAGTACAGGAAACTGTACGGAGGGAGATTCCTGACCTGAAAAAAACAACACAACAACAAGCCGTCTGATATTACATTTTGTCATTTAAATCAAATTCGTTTATCCTCTAAATAATGGTCATTTATGGACAAGCTCGTCAGGTTCAGCCCTTCATTTTCAAGCGTCACCTTATTTTAACCATTCTAATAACCTTAATATTTAACTGCTTATGAACACGTTTCTAATTGATGGTAACATCCTAACATTTAATATGTTATGGTAGTAATATAGGTCCCTATCTGTTGAAAATACATTTCTATTGTGTTTTGTGTTCGTTATAATCTTGGAGGTGTAAAGTAAAAGACCTTTATTTACCCCCCATAACTAAACAGCCGCCCAGCTTTACAAACGAGTAAGAATTTTACTGAACTGCTTTACAATAGCTAAAAAATAAAATAATAGTCTGTCAAGCTCAAACTTTGTATAATCCTGCCCCCTTACTGCCCACTGCGAATTAAAATGTACTTCGTGCAACATGTGAGATGTCCAAAACTGCTGAAAAGGAGCAAAACATTTGATCTTTAGGTGAAGTACAGTAAGCCAACAATATCCTCTGAGCACAGATGAGATGTTTTGGCTGACATATTCTTATATGAATCAGTTGGCAAAATCAAAAGCTCTTCCTATTTTAAGGATTTCAAACAGAAAGTTTCTCAACATCACAGGCAGGCAATACCATCACTGTTGTTCTGGGGTTGAAGCCATTTAGCTCTCTGGAAGCCAGGTGTTCATCCATTTCACCCTGGACAAAGTAGTTGGGGTAGTAAGCACCAGCGATGACCACCTAAAACGGAGAGAGGTGTAATTTGTAAAACAGCAGAATAACTTACTCACTCCACTGACCAGATGTGAGGTGGAGACTACAAAGCAACACTGGGACCTGGGAGAGTATCTATGTACATCATTCAGTGTCCGATTATGACTCTAACCTGAAGAATGAACTTCTGCTTGTGTGTGCTGGAGTAGTCTGAGGACTGAGTGTCCTGTGGGACGTGCATTCTGAACTGGGCCACGCGCTTCTTCAGGTCCTCGTAGAGCTCCGCTACCTGGACAGCGAGGTCAGTGGGATTTATGCTTTGCTACAAACTGCATGTCAGATATTTGGAGAGCATTAGGAGCCTCCTCCCCCTCACACCTTTCTGAAATTGGATTGAGGGTATCTGTGGCATTGAGTTTTTTTGTAAAACGCCAGTGATTTACCTAAACTTAACATCATGACTGGCTAGCTAGAGGAGCAACTGTTCTGAATTCTGAATATGATATTAATACACTGACATATAATTAAAACGCTAATTTCAGTTTATTTTAACCTGCAGAATTGTCCATCAATGGCTCTATCATTCATGCTAACTGGTATACACACTGCACATTGTTTTGTGAAACTCTCTCCATGAATCTCTACAATAGAAATGGACAGTGAAAATTTAGCAAGACCCATAGAGCCACAACAGACACATAAATTGAATTTGTGGCAGACTAAAATAAACCAGAATTATCCTTTAAAGCTTGTTGTTCACGGCATGACTTAGGCCATGTTTAACTCAAGTAATGAGTCTCCATAAGCTCTTAGGATGATCTCTGCACCTCCCTCATCCTCTTGATCTGAATGAAGTTCTCTTTTCCCCAGTCCAGCTCATCCTAAGAGAAAAAAAATGAAGCAAATACAAAAGCATTTTACCGTTCATTAAAAATAGACAAAAGAGCAGAGAGCTGCAGTCATTACAATTTCCTTATTTCAAAGTTTTCAAATGCACTGTTAGCAGAGAAGTAGTTTGTCTTTCATGAACTGACAGTTTTAGAATTTCACTAACTTGTAAGGATTTTCAAGAGAGGTCAACACTTGTTATGAGGTATTGTCAGCGATGTCACAGTAATAACCATGGGTTCTTCTAGTTTAAAAAAAACTAAGCAAGCTGATGCATACAAAGCAGGAGAAGGCTACAAAAACATCCCTAACAAGCAGCAGCTAATGGGAACTGTTGAGTTTCTAACGTGTTTAACATGGTAAAGATTCTGCTTTGGGGCAGCGTGGCAGCCACAGCAAAGACTGTAAAGACAGATGGGAAGAAGGAATTCCATGCAAATGTCATGCAGGCAGCAGAACAAGTGACACTGACAAGAGGGCAGCTTCTACAGCACAACAACGATCCAAAGCAAGCTTCAAAACTTGCTTAATAATCATATGCAAGGTGTAGCTTTTGGAATAGCCCTCCCATGATTCAGACCAAGTCAACTGCAGCTGCACTACTCCACAAGTTTGTGCAAAACCTAATAAGCCATGTGATCCCAGCATGATCTGACAGTGTTCCAAAGAGCTTCCTGCTTCGCTCTCTCAGCCTTCAAGTGCTTCATAAATATTCATGGTTGAGGTCAGTTGACTGGGAAAAAAATCCTTAACAGGCTGCAGTCTTTGGTCTTAAAGTAGTTTAAGTACTTCCTTAAAGCTTTGAAGTGTGTTTGGACTCATCATCCTTTGGCAGTATGGATTCTTCTCCACAGAAGATACAAGCCGTCTTCTTGAGAATAGACAGCTACTTCTCCTCGGTCAGGGTGGCGCTGATTTGGTGCAGGTGTCCAAATCGATGCCCCTGACCCAGACATGAACATTCTCACCACCTCGTTTCACCGTAGGTGTGATACACTGTAATATCATTTGTGTCTTGTTTTTTTTTTTTTTTTTTTAATCATCTACTGTGAAATGCTTCGAAATGCAAGGGTTTGGCAGGAGGTAGTTTATAGACGCTTCTCGTCACTAGACCACTCGATAGCCTTCTTTGGACCAGACTTTTCCTGACTGGAGTCTCACTTTCTGTTATTAACAACTTCTGCATCTGTGATAAAACTGTTTTTCTACCTTTTGGTCTGCCTGATTGTGTTCTGGATACAGATTTCAAAAAGCGTTTCAGCTGTACACGAGTAGGTTTCCAGCAAATAACTGTGTCATTGTTTACCTTTGGATGTCTCAGCTGCCCTTTCTTTTTGGATGAGTACCATGCCTATCAGTAAAAAACAATAGGAAATGGTTTTAAATAAATGCATAGGACACCACAACTTGCTGTTGACTTGGCATCATTACCTTGAAGGCATTGACAAAAGCTATGGCATCACTTGGTGTGCCGTGGGCGAAAGCAAGCTTGCTCCTGGAAACACAAGTGTTGCTCAGTGCATCGAAAAAAGCATAAAATACACAGAACCTATATTTGCTTGTGGCTTGATGAAAACATATCAGAGTTTGCAGCTTGACCCTTGTACATTTCTACACTGTCAGAAAAAATACTCATTCTTACATTTGCAAAAGTAAAAAAAAATATCTGACAGGGAGGAGGTTTAAGGAGAACAGTGGACATGGAGTGGCAGAGACGCTTTAATGACTGTTACATTTCTTGGTTTTTCAATATTTTTTGTGTCTACCGAGTAAAGCAAAATGTTTGGACTGTGACCATTTGCTTTCTACTACTTCAGCTGCACGTCACTATGATGGGACTAAAGATGTAAAAGTGAGTCAAAACAGAGGTCTGGAGTCTGTCGAGTGACAAGACAACCTAATGTCCAAATAAGTCATGCCACACAACAAAATATTTTTACTGACAACCAAGAGTGAGTAAATCTGAAAGTGCTGGATGTGACTCACCTGTGGCCAGCAAGCTGCTGCATGAATGGTATGGCGAAGAAATTCTTCAGCGAGAGCGAAGCAGCTGAGGATGAGAGAGGCTGTTGTGCAAACAATCGCTCACCAAAACAAATACGCTTCCTAGAGCGCATTCATTACCGATTTGTTGGCCAAGTGATGTCTCTACAACTACAGACAGGAGTAGTCGGTTAATTCCAGCAGCATAATGACAGACTGACCTAAGATGAGGCATTCGTTCAGACAGCCAAAGACGTGGCCCATGGCAATCATCTTCCCGAGGTACAGGTCCACAGGCAAATGGGCCAGCACTCGGCCCAGGAACGTCAGCTCTCCGTCCTCATTTTGACCTCTCTTATCACTTTTCACTGACAGCGCACCCATCTGGAGAGTGATACATCCAGCTGTCAAGACAACGTGCTCATTTCACTGCAATAATTAACATCTGGAATCCAAACACAGCTCAGCTTTTAACATTTTAACATTTAGAAAAAGTATACATGTACACATATACATACTTTTTTGTTTTACTGTTTTGTAAGAAAAACTGTTTCTTGATGGCCTTTGAAAGACAGCATTTCATATTTCTGTAACGCACTTTGTTCTGAAAGACTGGGTTAAAAAACAATATTTTCAAAGATGTTTTAATTAAACGTTATCTCAGTGATAGAAAGACTTCTTTTCCTCAGCAAAACACACAAACACATTAGAGCACAACTTTGGGAAATTGTGCTCTCACCCAACGAACCTGACAATGCTAACGCTGGCTGACGCAAAGCTCCTGTCAGGGAACTGTACTGTCTAATGCTCTGTGACAGAGCTGGGTGGTCAGCTGCCTGCCCGAATACATAACAATCATGCAGATGCACTTGACTAGACATTAATGGCTCTCACAGAAAAGAATCACCAATCTGCACTCTTTTTACAGACCTCTTTGAGTTGCAGCACAGTCTTAACTATGTCGCACAGGTTGGGGGGCGAGAGCGCTGTGGAGAGGAGGGAGCGAGGATCTCCCATGTCCAGTAGCTTCACCTTCAACAAGATGGTAGCCAGGGGAGCAAGCTGAGGAGAAGGAAAACAGGCTGTAAAAGCTTGGGTCCAAACAGCGTTAAATATCAGACAGATATCTGGGCATCAGTGCATTCCCTTACCAGCATCTCAGGAATCATGTGGTCTGGCATTTCATTCCTCCAGAACTCTTTGGTAACAAGACGGTAACAGTAGCCCTTAGACACTCGCCCTGCCCTGCCTAACAGCGAAAGGATGTTGAGTGTGAGAGAACAAAAGTGAACAGATATTTATGCTTTGCAGTTGAAGTTCTGTTCTGTACCTCTGCGCTGGTTGCAGTTGGTTTTGGATGCCCAGGTGAGACGCAGTGACTGATAATTAGTGTCTTGGTCGCAGACCAGGTGGCGAACCAGGCAGAAGTCAATCACTGTGGTATAAGAGCACCAACAGCAATTAAGATATTTTAAAAATCAGGTTAACAATAAACCAAAAATAAAAAAGCTGACATAAAGATTCACCGTATTTGACGTCTGGAACAGTCACCGAACTTTCTGCGATGTTGGTTGAAAGTATCACCTGAGAAGGTAAAGACATGATCAGCATAGCGGGTAGTGACAGGATATGGCAGAATAAGATCAATAGTTTTTTTTACCTTCCTGTATCCAGGGACAGGGAACAGGAACACACCGTTCTGCTCCTCCAGAGTCACCGCAGAGTGGAGAGGATAAACCTGCAATCTGAGCAGCAGCAGCACATCCAGAGAAAAACAACATGTCAGCATGTATCAGAAATAAAAAAGGTAACACATTAAACTCGTCAATAAAGTCCTGGTGCTTGAGCTACTTTAAATGTGCGCAACAGTTTGCTCACTAACAAAACAAGAGTATGACCTCTGGTTTTAAAATTAAAAGAGGCTGCCACTGTGGCCAAACAACATTAAATTCAAAGGCTCACCGTTTGTGTACCAGCTTGGTCAAGGCCTCCCGCATGTAACTGATTTCGTGCATGCCAGGAAGGAAAACCAAAACGCTGCCTCTCTCTGACACAGTCACACCACCCTCTTTTTCCACTTTGCTACTCACACACAAACACACGTATAAACACAAACAGATCGCACAATTATGCATCTGGCTATTTGCACTTTTAAGCAGCAAAGTTCCAAAATACGGCGTGCCTCACCCGGGATCTTTGCCCTCCATTTCATCAAAGCTCTGAATGAGACTGATGGCAAAATTGTACATCTCCGGCGTGATGTGGGGGTCATCTGGATGAGGCGCCTCAACCTGGTAAAGACACACAAAAAAGTCTCACATCTGGCTTCAACAGAGAGAGGTCAGTGGCGTCTGCAGCCATTTACGGCCATGTCTTTACCCGGTATGAAAACAGGCTGTGGAGGTCATCCAGGTAAAACTCCTCAATGGCGTAGGGTGCCCCCTCCACTTCAAACACATAGGCAGGGTTCATTCTGTCGCGAACCGGTGTGCCAAAGTACTCGGCAAACTGTCTGCAGTTAATGGTGGCCGACATGAGGATTATCTGAAAAAGAAAATCTTGGTTGAACTTAAGTGATGATCAATGCAGATATGTGTATTTGATCTAACGTTTACCTTGACATGGTAAGAGTTGAAATGAAGGAGTTTTCGCAAAATCAGCAGGAGAAAGTCCATCTCCTCTGTGCGCTCATGAACCTTAGGAAAAGGCAGCGTGAATAATTTGGAATATACAAGATTCATTGATTAAATTAAACTTGAAAATGCACACCTGTAGCAGCAAAGATATGGATTAAATCAGAGCAAAACTATGAAGCACAGACAATAACAGTAGAAATAGTAGAAACAACAACAATAAAACACAATGTGACGCACTTGAAGGAACTTTGCAAGACAAAATAAAAAATTAAGATCTGAACAAAATAGCTTCATTATTTCCATTTTTAGACACAAGCTCATAGAGAAACAAACATGTATATGAAAAATGAGATGTGTGATGTTTGTGCACCTCATCTATGAAAATGTGGGAGTACTCTGTCAGGCATTTGGCTGAAACCAGTTTCTGCAGCAGCACTCCTGTGGTCATATAGATCAGCTGGGTATGTTCGGTAGCCATCTTCTCCAGCCCGACCTGAAGCACAAGCACACAGAGTTGCATCATTAACCAGTCAGTTAGTTCAACACGTACTTATACTTCTCCACACTCATTAGGAACTTGGTTTATTTGTCCACTGTTCGATGAGAAGTCAGCTAAGCAGTTTTATGTCTGTGAAGGCTCCTGCATGACAGAAACTAAAATTCATCCGTGGAAGACGTCCGTTTGTTTGTTTCTTGTTGCTGATTTAATTCACAAGCTTTTGCTAAGAATGTCTTCTGCAAATATCCGCTCACAGATAATGCTTTTCATCACCATTTTGTCTCCCTGGGAGATGCCCTTTGCATGCCCTCCATGTTTTGGTTTCCTTGCCATGGTGATAAATACTTTTGGGGGGTTTGCATAGTTTTATTGCATTACAGCGCAGCACAGACTCCTTGAGCTCCACTGAGTGCTGAAAAAACAATATCAGTGAACTTGGAAAAAAATCAATCTTCAATCTATGTCTAAAAAAAAAAACTGAAAAAAACTTTCCAGTTGCAGGACTGCCAGGTCTTCACAAACCAAACGTAACTTAACTTGCGGTAAAGACGACATTAACAAGCGTCTCCTAAGTACAGCAATCAAACCATAATGTTGAGGTTTTGTTGCATAAGAATTATATCTCCTACTAACATCGACTGTTTATCATTGCTCCCACTGTCAGTGACATCATCCTTAACTCTGCACCAAGCGGAGGAGACAACAGTTATTATTAGACGCACTGTTTCAGAGCTCTGCACAACACAGCCAGAAATCCTAGCAACAAAGCACACAAGAGCTTGTTGACACATGCATACAAATACTCTTTCTAAGATGTGAGAGAGATGCAATGAATGCTCTTTGCGCAGCCTGTGAACCACAACAGGTCGGTCAATATATTGGAACTATGGAACTGCTGCTGCCTGAATTCTCCAAAGGGTCTCCTGTTTTTTATACCCTTATAATTTAAAAACAAAAAGAAATATTTGGGAAGGACATATGTGCAAACCCATCTATACTGCACAAAAAAAAATAAAAATGTCATCTGGTCTCAATGCACCAACCTGATATCCCACCAGACTACCCAGGGTGCACTTCCGCTGTGTGGCGACCCATCGAGCAATACTAGTGGCTCCGATTTTGCGTGGTTGGGTGACCACAATGTTGCATGTGGTATTTTTCTCATTGTAATGGTCCAGGATGTACTGTGGCAGCTGGGTGGTCTTGCCACTGCCTGTGGCTCCACGAATGATCACTACAGAGTTGTTTTCTATGAGAGAAACGAGCTGGAAGCAGAGACACACACACACACACACACAAAACAGAAACACAAACAGTCATGTGTACGGTTAAAACAGTGAACAAAAAGGGAGATTCCATGTGGCCACTGTCCCATATCACTGAAATAAAAGGGAAATTTAAAAATAAGTTATGAAATGGTAGAGCAGATGGATGTGCTAAGCTGATTTATGATAGGAGGTTGAGACTTTATAATCTGCATTAAGAAAGTGCAGCTTAACTGACAGCACAAGCTCCTAAAATATACACACACCGCTCTGTAGTAGTCAACACAAAATACTGGACTGGTGAACTTAAAGTTAGCTTTTATCCTGCAGCATCAAAAAAAAGAAACAACTTCATGTTCATCTTGAGCAAACCGTAAAAGCTTAAGTGCTCCAGTGTCCTGAGGATATAATGACAATTTCAGGAGAACTTCAAATGACCAAAAGAAAAAGAACTCTTGGAAAATGAGAGTGCACTATAAAAGCTTCAGGCTGTGTGGTACGGTGGATGTAGTATACGGACACTGCATCTTACCTCCTGTCTGTTTTTGGTTATGGGCAAGGTTGGATACTCGTAGCTGGCAAGTGGAGGAGGAGCTGTACCTACAGATGCAGAAATGAATGCACAAGGTACAGTTGAAAACCAACTTGGGCATAAATTAGATTTCTGATACAGAACAACGTAATTAAAGTGAAGGTTAGAAAAACACTCAAACAAAGTCCAATACTCACGCCGTGGTGGTTCTGGTTTTTGGAATCTCCCTCCATCAGAGCTGACATTTTTCACTCTGTCCTCATCGAGAACTTCTGCTGGACTGAAACAAAATAAACGCTATTTTAAACAGTAGCTTTTTGAGTTAACAAATTTAATTTAGAGCCTGAAGTGGCACAGCCTGGAGGGAGCAAGTCAGGACAAAAAGGAAAGCCGTGCTAAGCGATTTAATATTGTAAACAAAAAATAAGTTAGTGTGCGGAAACTATGAAATTTCAGCCATTTTGTCGAAGTTTTTACACAGACAATTAATTAGAGTTTACTTCTTTTTTATCTATGTGACCATAAGAAGTGCTCAATGAAGTGGAAGAGTGGCTTGGCTTAAACCTGCTAGTTTAATCTCACAAAGCACAGCTGCCATGCCCCATAGAGTACTGCCACAGGAAACAAATGCAATTAGCACATACAATTTGAATTAACATTCAGTTACGTACACTGGTGAAGTAACTTAGAGGAAAAGCTTTACACAAATTGAACAAATATTTAGCAGTTTTAATCAAGTCTCCTGGTTAAAACAGCAGCTGTAGTACTAGAATTCATCAGGTATCACCTCCTGAGCTACGTCTGTTGGGACTAATGCTGGGTATTGCAGCATTTAGACCAAAAATATCGAAACGCTCAGAAATTAAGGTGTTTTTAAAATCACTTACAAAAACACGAATGCTAATGTAAACAGACACGGAGGTTATCGTTAAAAGCAAACTTCAAACGTTCCGTTTAGTGAAAATAAAAGCATCTCAATAATATTCATTTCTGACTTCGCTCAGACCGTCTGCGTCCGCTTGACTTTCCCGCTGGTCAGCTAAACCAGGCCCACAGCGCTGCAGCCTGAGGAGCATTCCCAGATGTGCGCCCCCAGCACTCTCTCAGTGAGGGGAGGATTTTATCCAAACAACAGACACAAACCCTGACAGTACTAAGAGGAGCTCCAATGCAACACACCCACGGCTTGTGCGCACACATGCACTCTCGTCCTCTCTCTTTCTCTCCAATGCACACATTTCGTGCGAGCTACAAAGCAGCTGACCTTACGACAAAGCTGCAGACTGCACGGAGAGGAGTGGGGTGAAAGGAGAGGTGACAGCTCTTAGTCAGTTATCAGTGTGTGACTAACTCTCCTGGAAAAACTCTGCATGACAGGAGAAGTGGGAGGACAGGACAATAACTACAAGACATAGCAGAAAACATTTGGAACGACCAAGCCAGGGGAGGACTGCTGCCGAAATCTGGCACTGGACACCAAGGGACGTGGTCAGCGCTGAGTGGAGTCTACATACACTGACCCATGGAGACAAGAAGCTGGAGGCTGTGTTCTGTGAAAAGATCGTCTTTGTGCAATTTCTAAACAGCTCTTTAAAGTGTCAGCGCTGCAGTTTTCACCTGTAAGTACAGATCTTTGCTTTCAATTTGCAGTCAGACGTTAATGTGATGATTCCTTCCTGCACATGCATGAGGACTTACAGTTCATATACCTGATATGTTTTGGAGAACAGGAATCGATACAGATGTCTGAAAAACGTCTTTCAACCTTGCAAAACCACACATACAGTTTGTAGTCTGTCAGGCTGACCTCTGACCCTGCAGGCGCTGTAATATATCTGAATCCCAGGTGGAGGCTGTGCCGGATCCATCAGCTTGAGAAAAGAGCCAAACACACACATGTGAGACTCCATCCTTCACTAAGTTTGACTTCAAATGACAGCAATCAGAGCAGCCATCAGGCAGAGAGCAGAGGTCGGCCTGGTTAGAGGGTGATCATTTTTCACTGTCAACCTAAGATTGAGGTTATTAAAGGGCTACGCAGGTATAGAATCAATGTTATCCTATTTTAACAATTTTATCACTCAAATCTCCTTCAAGCTGTAAAAGTGACCCCATGTCAGTACGAGTTCAGAACATCACCGGCAGAAACGCTTCAATTACTTCTAAAGCTTTTCCAACATAACGCGTATGCTTGTGTTAGATATTTTTTATTCTGCTGGACTTTTGCAGCTCCTTACAAAGTGGATTTATTTAGTAGGATCACCATCACTGATGATGCTTACTCGCATGTGCAGTCACCCCTCAAAGGCCACTACATACAACATATTTGCATACATACTGATACTCCTGATGCCGTCTAATTCCATCCTGTCATGCATATTTGCAACTTCCAGGCACAACGAGCACTACTTTGAAGCAACAGATATTCCTGCACATGCAAATGCGTTCAAACTGTGCTGTTATGTTGTGAAGGTCACAGCTTTTTGAACCAGAATAACAAATAATTCTCATGTTCCTTCAGTTTCCAGGGACCGTGTGCTGTGAGAGCCATGCCTCTGTTCAGCTGGATGAAATGGTCGCATGAGACGAGAGAGCAGGCTCAGGATACGACACCATCTCTGAAAAGCTCGGGGGTTGTACCCAGCCGCATGCTGATCACAGAGCTCCTGTGGCATGTGGAAGAACGCGAGCGGCTGGCGAGAGAACTGGAGCGTGAGCACAGGCTAGCCCACAGTGCCCTGGGTCTCCACTGGTTTCAGAAGTACCCCAGGTTACGGACCCTCATCCCCTCATCGGAGCTACACCAGCTGGAGTTCCTGTGTGCTCAGATCCCACCCATCCACGCAGCCACCGTCCTCTCCAGGTGTTTGGTAGCACTCATACCCTGCTCTGTCCTCACATTAGTATGCTGTCAACAGTGGCTTGCTGCTACTGAATCAACACTAGGCCTGACAGCAGGCAAAGCAGAGAAGACCCAAAGGGGAAGGGAGGCAGGGCAAGCTGCCAAGAAAGCCATTATGTGTTATTGTCACAGGCGCAGGCGATGTAGGGTGTTAACATGTGAAGGTGAAGGACGCCCTGTAAGGCTGAGTGAAGCCAGACTGACGGGGTTTCCACTCATCGTCTCCATTAGCCAGTATGGAAATAAGGCTGAACACTTGTTAGACACGGTTGAGCACTGTGACCTACTTACTTATCTCCCATAAAACTGACTACTGGGTCACTACTATGTGCTTACATAATCACATAACCAAAGAATAACATTCAGAAAATGTGTTAGAATATTTGTACTATTTTCAAAAACCTGTGCTGTTGTCCCAGATCTGTCATTCTTGAACCTACGAGACAAGCAACAGCTGACGCTCTAACATTTTGTGAAGGGGTGAAATATACAAACATTGCTAACTGCAGCCTGATTTGTGGTAAGGTGACACTGTGCTTATGAAAATCCTCGTCTCTTCACCAAGTGTTTCATTAACAAAAATGGTGCACCCTTCCACAGGTTTCGTGAGGTGCTTGCGACTAACAACATAAGACCCTGGGAGCTGGCGTCTGTCTTCAAGCAGGTACTGAGGGACTTCCTGAACCAGAAGGAATACGGTGAAGAGCACGACGTCTCAGTGCAGCCGGCACAGTTCCGACCAATGGAAGCTTGGACCAGCCGTTACAAAATGAAGCAGGGCTTTGTCACGCCGACGGTCCCCAACTGTGGAGACCACCCGAGGGAAGAGATCCCGACAGTCTCTGCCTACGTGGATCGGGCCATGCGACATTCCAGCTCATTCACAGCCACCAGAGACTGGGACCTTCCATATTACTATCCAACGCCTCTCAGGCCCAAAGCGGCGTACAGCACTACACTGTGAGCGAACACACATCTGTGGTCTTGTGTTTCACACAGGGGAGGAACTGCTATCACATCCACAGCATGGAGACAATATGGCATTGCCTGCATTAGTTCTAGATGTCTTGTGAAAATGCCATTAGGCTATTTTGTAAATGTGCTCAGATGTTTCATTGCAATACCTCTATTTTGCCTGCTCTTCATAATCCTATTTTACGGAGTGAGTGGTCTACGTAGTCCTGATTACAAACCTCAGTTAGATTTTGAACAGCTGGGGATGTACTTTAAAAGGCCTGCTGTTAGCTAGTTGGAGTGACTTCATAACAAAAAGCACAGAATATTTTTGGGTTTTTTTTGACTCCAAATAAAAAATGACGCTTACTTGTCACAGCTCATGACAAGCTGAAAATGCAAATAAGTGTAGTATAATGAGGAAAGACTGTAAAATATTTAACAATAAAAACACAGAGATTAGGGGAAAATAACATAAATTGTGCAGTATCTTTTATGACGTTTTTTCTTTCTTTCTTTTTTTAAAATCTATGTTGTTGATCATCCTGTGAATCCACAAGCTCTCCAAAACAAGCAACAACTGTTTTTGGCAAATTGTGTAACTTGAAATGAAAGTCGGGTCTGCTGTGCTCATTTATTGAGGGGAATTTGGGAGTGTTAGCTACCTGGGGAAAATATCACATTCTGCATTTGCAAAGAAAAATTACATGTGTGCTTGATTGGTTGATTTAGGTGTTTTTGAGCCCTATATTTCACTTTGAGTACTTAATTTTTATCTTAAAGCTTTGCAGAGAAAGATAGAATAAACATTTGGACACATTTAAACAACCAAATCATGCACTGTACTGGAAATGATAAAGGGCAGATTGAGAGTAGTGTCATAGAGTAGAAACAACAAGTCAGCCAGGAGTCACTCAATAACAACAACACAGAGATAATAAGTTTGTCAATACTGGCTCATTGAATGTTGGACCAACTCTTCCTGAAGGATCTGGTGAAGTTGACAGACATTTTAGAGGACAGGATCTCATCTATCCAGAGCTGTCTACAACAACTTAGTAGAAATCAAATGATGGAGTTGTGGACATTCAAGTGTCTGGCTATGGCGCTAACTGACATGCAGTATTCAGCAAGTCACCGGTCGACTCTCTTTTCTCTTACTGTATTATTAAAAAAAAAAAAAAAAAGCTGCTTTTCAAGGTGGCATAATATAGTAGCTGGTCAAAGATGTGTCTGTTGAATAATAATAATAATAATAATAATAAAAAATAGAGCCCAAAATTAAATCAAATTAAATAAAGTTAGTCATTTTGCTGTAAATACAATAGCAGTGCAGGCAAAAAAAAGTATGCTTTCCTAAAGAATTTAATATTTGGATTTTTTTTTCCAAAAGAGATGTTCAGAAGAAGAAAAAAATCATTTTGGAGTTACTTCATCCAAATCTTTCGGTTGGGTCTATTTGCTCCGAAGCTAACGTTAGCGGCAGCCGTTTAAAATGGCGGATGTCCTCAGGCAATTTAATTCTGACTTTTCAGATTAATTCAGAACTGTAATGTACTAAATGTTATCTAAATCTACACAGAGGTTGCTATTCCAACACATTTATGCACCGCGCTATAATTCAACAAGTTCAACCAACTTTAAGGGGTGTTCAGGGCCGTTTATTAGCTTTTCTGTTAGCTTTAGCTAGCTAGCTAGCTAGCATGACGTTAGCCCGCTATCAGCTAACTTACCGTTACCCTGATCGGGGCTTACCTGGTCTCTTTCGACGGCGGTGGGTCAGACTTTTTTTCAGCCGCTTCTTCCGTGAGTTTAATGTTCGCGAACGTGTTCCCCGAGGTGAACCAGTCCGAAATTTGCTCAGCGGTGAAGGCTTTCTTCATGTCGCAGGTGTTAATTACAATAATTGCATCTTTCTGTCGTGTCTCCGCGGCGTCAGGTGCAGGACGTTACGTCTCCCACTAGCGGTTGGACTCAGAATTACAACTACAGCGTAGCACCAAACTTACAAAAAAACGGCTGCTAGAACACCCAGCCTGGGTTTACTATTAGAAATATAAACACCAGGATTTAAATTTAGTTAGAAGACAGAAAATTAATTTGGAGCTTTTTTGGTAATGATTAATATTTGATTACTTTTTAAAGCAAAAAATAACCACATGTTCTTGTTCCAGCTTCTCCAATGTGACTCCTACTCTTCAGAGAATTGAAAGTCTTGGAGGACCTCAGACAAAGGGCTTTTACTGTTACTACTTTTTGGCACAGTCCTTGCAGCCCTGAATTAATTTATTCTCTCATTTTCTATCAAGTGTTCAGAAAAGATATATGAAGGGAGTGGATTCGGCTTACTAGAGGTAGGGAAAAGAATTTAATTACAGTATTATAAAAATGCCAAAAAGGCATACAGCTCAGTATGATGGAAAAAATACAACATTATAGCATGGACACAACCGAAATGATTAGTTAACAATCATAGCACCAGACATGAGCACCTCAACATGTAAGCTGTGACTCGATGTACTTCTGTACATCCAAAGCAACACAGTGAAGATGGAGCTGCACTAATTAAAGGTTTGTCATCGCTGGTCCGTCCTTGCCGCTGAGGTACGTCTGAACACATTAAAACTTTCTAATAAGAGTAAAACATAAGGAAAATATTTCTTCACGTTCACAGACTTAAAAAAAAATAAAACAAATCAGGAATAACAAAGTCTTAAAAAAGAAAAAGAAAAAGAAAACACTTGTTCACGAGGAACAATGTTCACTGTTCATTTACAAACCAGGGATTTACATCATCTCCACAGGCAGACCTCCAGTGCTGTCTTGCAGGAAGCTAAGCTCTGTTCGGAGCTTTTCGTTTTCCTTGACAGCGAAAGAAATGCACAACGTTAGCAGCATTCACATGACCAAAGAAGTACATCATGAACTGACAGAGGAAACGGTAGCTACCTCTTGAAGTTTGGTGTTGTCCTTTTTCAGCTTAACCAGATACTCAATCCTCTGTTTGTGGTTCTTGTGTCCCACAAGTTTTCCATTCTCCTCTGAGAGCTTAACGTTCTGCTTACGGAGAACCTCGTTCTCCTGGAAGACAGCAAATATTTTACTCAAGTCAGATAAACGTGACCTGTTAGTTTGGCCGTCCTTGTGCACGTGTAATACATTTTGAATCGATCCTTTCACTCTGACTCAAATCAAATAGTTGAAAGGTTCAGTTGTATCGCACACGGAAGCTCACCTGGAGTAGTTTCTCCTCGTCGTGTATCCTGTGGCTCATATCTCTCAGCTCCAGACAGCGGTTCCTCAGCTCAGAGGTCAGCTCTTGAACGCAGGTCTGAGACTGAGCCAACATGGACTCCTGTGCCAGCAGTCTAATCCATCAGGGGAAAAAAAACAAAACAGAAGCAGAGCTGCGGTTGTCAAACATCAAGCATCAGTGAAAGACAAGACCCAATAACAAACATTGAGTCACTTTCCTGAACCACTCCCCCATGTGCTCACCTTTTCTGAGTATCAGACAGCTTCTGGACGATTTTGGTCTGGTGATGAAAGACAGAGAAACACATTAACAAACGATGCATTTAGAGAAAACAATAAAACCAGCAGAGAGACAGATAGAGACCTTCTCTGCTCTTTCCTCCTGTAGCTCCTTAAGCACCGACTGCTTGATGGCTTCATTCAACTCCTCGCTGAAAAATCACAAGACAACATTATTCATTTTACTTTCTCCATAACACACACGGACGACAGAATAACTGAATGAAGAAACTCAACCTGTTATTTCCATTCTGTGTCATCTGACTCTGCTTTGTGTAAAATTTGTCAAGCAGATCCTGGATCTCCATTCGAACCATCTCCTTCTCAGTCAGCTGCGTCTGTAGACATGTAATGCAGAACATGTATAAGATGTTAACACAATTACATGTATTGCATTTATTAAAAAGTGCAAAATATAACACTCCACTAAACAGTCTGGTGTATGAGATGTGTCAGAAAAGTTCCAGGACTGGTGTCACAAAAGACATATTTCAAACCCAAACTACAAGTTTTCCCCTTCAGACGATCAACCAGCACGTCTACAAAGAGATCCTGCGGCGTTTGCTTCGTTCGAGAAGAGGCAGAGTTGTGTCAGGACGAGTCGTGGCTGCTTCACCATGACAACCTGCTCACAGCTCCCTGTGCATCCCACAGTTCCTGGCTGAGAAGAACATCTCCGTGCTGGAGCAACCTCCCTGCTCACCCCACCTGGCTCCCACCTGGATTGTTTCCTCTTCTCCAAGATCAAGGGGGTCATCAAGGGGACCCGTTTAGAAGACGTGGACGACATCAAGATGGCTGTGACGACGGAGGATCCTGGAAGAATCCTTCCAGGAGTGCGTGGCGGCGTGAAGAGAAGGCTGGGGAAGTGGGTTAGACTCCAGGGGGATTACTTGGAAGGGGAAGACTTGTAGTTTGGATTTGAAATATATCTTTAGTGACACCAGTCCTGAAATTTTTCTGACACACCTCGTAACTCAGTCTAATGGTGAAAACACAAAAACATACCTTCAGCCTTTGGATTTCCTCATTCTTTGCAGCCCTCTCAGCGTTCAGTTCTGTTAGAAGAATCTCCATCGTCATCATGGAGGAGCGTCTGCTCTCCAGCTCCTGCTCCTGGCTCTCCAGCACCTGGGTCAGGTCCCTGTTGAAGCTCCCTGGAGTACGGGGCGTCTTTAGAAACAGAAATTTAAATAAATAAAAAAAAAGATTAGCACAAAAATGATGAATAGAATAAAATAAGTCACAAATGGTCCATCAGTGAAGGCGTATTTAAAGAATAACTGAGACATCAGCAGGTTTTACCCGAGGTAATGACTTCGGTGTGAATGTCGCCTCAACAAGAGGTTTGAACATCCCGCTTCTGATTGATTTCTCAACAGCTTCTTGCTGTTGTTGCACCTGGTGTGAAAGGAGAGCTTTGGCAATTACTCATTTTGATAAAATATCATCATTTGATATATATTTTTTTAATGTTACTGATTATTTGTTGACTGTACTGTGGCATAAAAAACAAAAACAAAAGAAAAACTTCACCTTCTGCTCTAGGTTCTGTATCATGACGTCCTTCTGGGCTGTTTGCTCCTGAGATGCTTGGAGGAGGCTGTTCTGCTCGTCTAAGACCTTAGTGAGTCTCTCAACCTCTTCAGTGGCGTAGGAAATCTCCTCCTGCAACACCTCAACCTAAGAACATACACATTATATGTAGTGTTTTTTCCATTTCAACCACATTTTGATACCCACAAAACTAAGGGCTCATAACATTAGTCAAGTCGCTATGAATCTACAAAACTCAACACCAACATCTATTCACAAACATTACCTCTATTTTGTTGGATGCTGTCCTCCTGTCTAAAGTTTCTTTCAGGTCACAGACTTCTGTCTGCACCTTACAGTGTTGCTCCCTGATGTCCTCCCGTTCAAGGCAGGCAGCATTGTATTTGGTCTGGAAGAGCAATGACATCATCCTCAATATTTACGTGCACTGATTGATTCATGATTCATTAAACTGTCCACAGTATAGAGGAACAGAATGGGTAAATGCAGCGATCAGTAAAGTTTTTTCTAAGACAGATGAGAGGGAAAATAGGAGATGGAGTACTGTGATGTCTTTGATTTCTTCAGACAGGTGGTTAATGGTCTGGTCCTTCTGGCTCAGTTCACTGCGGAGGTCTCTGGTTTGGTTAATCAGATCTAAAACGACGTCCTGTCAAAGAACACAAGAGGTACTCAGAAGGACAGTATACATGTTGAAACTATATTTGAAGATGAGACAGAACTGTTCACTGAGACTTACTTTATCCTGTTCAACCTTCTGCTCCAAGCTTTTTATCCTTTCATTGGCAGAAGTTAAACTGTGCTCAAGATCAGCAAGTTTGGACACCTTCAAAACAAAAATAAGAAACAAACTCCTTCACTGCAAAAACTCTTCTGCCGTTTTTTTATACTTTGCAAATACGTGCACGTTTCCTACGACTGACCTGTTGCTGATTTTGTATCATCAAGTCTGACACTTGTTTTCTGAGCTGTGTGTTCTGTTCCACGGTTTCAGTAAGTTCTCTGAAGGAATATATGAAGGTCCCACATGTCAACATGAACGCCATTTTAAAGGTAAAAATTTTGTACGTGCATCAGAATTAACAAAACAAAAGTTAAATTGTGCAAACTCACTTTGATGTACTTTCTTTGTTTTCTCTTAACTGGGAGATCAGGGCGCTCGTGTGCTCTTGCTCAGTTTGCAAAGAATTATTTAATTCCTGCAGTGAAGAAAAGAAAAGAAAAAATCAGAAATATAAAAAATAACAGTTAAACCATAAAAAATAAATTTCATGTCAAAAACGGGTACGGAGTTTCTGAGTTCACTAACCATGACCTGCGCCTTCAGTCCATCAATCTCCTGCTGCCCGTCGTGCAGCTGCTGTCTTGCCTGATCAGCCTCAAACTTGGCTTCAGCTTGCAGCTGGTCAAACGAATCCTGCAGCGTCCGGTGCTGCTCTAGAAGCTGCTCCCACTCCAGTCTGGAAAGAAGACCACACTGAGGTTGTGAGCAAATAGACACATGAGAGAAGCACAGCACAGTGTAGCAGATTAATGCTTACTGGACTTTGTCAAGTTGGAGCTGTGTGCTGATCAGACTGCTGGAGAGCTGACTCATTTCTTTCTCCTGCTCACTCTGACCGTCTCTCAGTTCGTTCTTCACAGAGGCCAGCTCCTTGTCGGATGACTGCAGCACCAGGCGTAGATCGCGGATCTCACTCCTCAGAACTGAAAGAAGAGGAAAGACCTTGATACGCTTGTCTCCATCGATGGCCCAAGTCAAAACAACCCCACCACGTGACAGTAATTCCTA